AGCCATTACAGGGATGGTGGGAAGACAATGGTGAGGAGGAGAGAGTACATGGAGTTTTGCTAGAAAGAAGAGTGCCCCTCCTATAGAACATTGGATACTTGCACTTCAGGTGTTCTTTCTCTTTTTGGCTTTTTTCAACTTGCACCACAGGCTCTGACACATTCTTTGTCACCTTTACTGAAAACATATCCAATGAGGACTGCTTCTGTCTTCTTTTCAAAATTCCTCAAAAGTGTTTGGTCACTGAATAAATTCACATTTCTGTTTCTCCGAGTTTTGTCCAGATGGTACTTCTCTACAAAGTTTTGAACTTCTGCCCATTTTGCACACATTTCTTTTATCAAGGAACTGGGGACATCCTCCCTTATTTCCTCCTCACCTGAAGAAATCTCTTTAGCCTCCTCTTGTTGCTGCTCCTTCTGTAGTTCCTGCAGCTCCTCAGGCTGAGCTCTTCACAATGTTCTTCCACTAACTTCTCAACATCAGCAGCATTGACCTACAGACCCATGGATTTGCCCAAAGATACAATATCCTGCACAACTATCAGACTCAAACTCTTCAAAGTCTCTGAGTCACAGCTTCTGGCCACAAATTCTTCCATGCCAAATTCATTGTCCTGTAAGAGACTTCATTCCAGGCCTTATTAATAAGATTAAGGCAGTGCAGGATATTGAAATACTCCTTCCAGAATTCTGTGAAGGTCAACTAGGTGCCAGAAGTGGTCTCAAAGGCCTCAGGAAAAGTGCCTTGGTGTACGTGGTGCACAACCTTTTGAAGTTTGAAATGACCTGCTGGTCCATGGGCTGGATGAGAGGAGTAGTATTGTGAGAGCAAAAACTTTATAGTGATGAAGCTGAACTCCTCCAGTAAGTCATCTTCCAAGCCTGGAGGGTGGGAAGGTGCATTATCCATTAATAGGAGAGCTTTCAAGGACAAATCTTTCTCCAGCAAATATTTTTTCACTGAGGGACTTTCATTAATTCACTCATTGAAAAATTGCCTCATGTCCCAAATTTGCTGTTTGCCTCCACATCACATGGAGTTTGCTTTTTGTGGCATTATGCTTCGCGAAAACTTGCAAGTTTTCACTATGATAGACTAGTAGAGGCTTCACTTTTAAGTCCCCACTAGCATTTCAATGAAGGACAGGCTTACTCTATTGTTATGTGCAGTGCTTTTTTTGTAAAAAAAAAAAAAAAAAAAAGGTGCCGGAACTCACACGTCATACAACCCGCCTTGCCTACCCTACAAGGTTCCATACAAAAAAGGTGCCGGAACTCCGTTCTGGGCATTCTATGACCAAAAAAAAGCCCTGGTTATGTGGGAATGCTAGTGGGGACTTAAAAATGAAGCCTCTACTATATCATAGTGAAAACCTGCGAGTTTGTGACCTGGTAATGCTTTCTCCTCTTTGGTGTTGTAGGCTCTACTTGGCTTTTTTTTTTTCTTCAAAAAAGTTCAGTCTCATCACAGTTAAAAACTTGTTGGGGAGTAGAACCCTCAGACTCTATGGAGTCATGAAATTCACAGACAAATTCATCAGCATCCTTTTTATTAGCATTCACTGCCTTGCCATACTTTACAACACTATGGATGCTGGTCCTCTTTTTAAAATTATCAAACCAGCCATGACTGGTCTTAAAAACTTCAATACTCTCACCACTTGGTCCCAGTTTGAGTTTCAAGAGATTGGCATGCAACAATTTTGCTTTTTTTACATCATGCCTTCTGACACACTAACTGCTTCTTGTTTAGCCAAATTAATAACAGCTTTTCAACTTCCTCAAGTGTTTGGGAATGTTGCTTTGTTACTGCTTTAACTTTTTTTTTTTTTTTGCAACATCAGCCTTTTTAACTGCTTCTTTATACTTAATGAAGGTGGAGACTCTTGTTCTACGCATATCATATTCCCTAGCAAAGTCAGTAAAGCAAATACAACTCTCATATTTGCCTATTATTTCTTTTTTGTTTTTGGTCAACAGTGGTGCGAAGTAATCTTCTGCTCAGCACTACCACTGCTCATTTTCTTAGGATCCATTATTAGAAAAAAAGCACAAAAATACACAAAATGACCATAGTAGCTAAAATAAGATTTCCTGGAGATATGCATAGAACAAGAGCTATCTCATGACTAACGGGTGGCCCTTTGTTTTGGCTAGAAAGGGCAGCAAGTCACGAGGCAGCCAACATTGATATGTTCTAGCTTGTGCGTCGAATGCCAAACAAATGACAAGTACCAGGACACAATTTTCCCATCAAGTACTAAATTTGATGACTTTCAAAGCAATTGAGTACCAAGGTACCCCTGTACAGGGCATAATGAATACCCTTGTTGAGTTTCCACTTGAATTAAATGGATCTGAGTCAAAACAATTGTCTTCAGTTTCTTGTTGAGGGAGTGAGAATAAATTTGGAAAACTAAATTAATTAAAAATATATTTGTCAAAAACATTTTTAACAAAAATATTCCATCAAGTAAAATTCTTTGAAAACATCTAGTAACAACTAGGCTGTTGGAAAGTTTGTTAACTTGGAAATTAGATTGCAATTAATAGCTTAGATTTTGCATGTAGGTTAAATCTTTTTTGTCCATTGGGAATACATTTTTCTCTAAACAAATTACATGTATTCACTAGTTAATATATAACTGAAGATAGCAAGTTTGCATCTTGATTGACCACAAGATTGTTTTATTTCAACAATTATTATTCTGAAAAAAACCAAAATACTGCTAATGCATTATCATTTATATTCTCTACAAAACTAATTTTAAACCACTGATTATAAAAATATAACCTCTAAAACTACTAGAAAATAATTAGGATTTCTTATCCTTTATTTAGTAAATTAAGTTCATCGGTTTATCTCATTCTCAAATCTTAATGGGACAAGTAAAGTGAAAGCAATATCACACTCAAAATTTCCATCAGCAACTTAAATAGTAGGATGTTGGAAGAAAAACCATATATAGGATCTTTCCATAAGATTGGAAATCTCAACCCATACATAGACAAGAAAGACTTTGTTCAAATTTTCACTTGATACAGATCTCTCAGGATAAATGGTTATAAACCTGTTCCTTGTGTGTTTAGCATTCTTATGGATTTTATCTTAATAGGGCAGCTTCATACATTAAATTAAAAGAATTATAACCACATGCTGAATTCTTCACTTAGAATCTACCTGTCAATTGGGAAGTTATGCTTATTGTAATTAAACGTATAATATGTATTATTATGCTTATTTAATTATATATTGTATTCCGTGAGAATGGTATTTTGCAAAATATATGGAACAAGAAAAGAAACATTATGGAAAAAATGAAAAAGAAAAATTTTAATTATATATATTGAAGTTTAGAAAATGCAGGAACTAGAGAACTGTTCTGGAAATATTTTAAAGATTTTGAGAGTGACAGAGAGTGGATGGGAGAGAGAAGTATTAGAGTCCTAAAAGATGACCCCAAGTATAAGCAGCAGCAAGGTTAAAGGAAGTTTAAGAGTTGTAGCAGGCTGGAAATGGTGGTATTGAATATGCAAAGCTACTAAGCAATGGTATATTGAAATATAAAGATCAATCAACAAGTACAAGTCAAAGACATGGAAAGTTTTAAAAGAACATACAAAATGCTTATACAGAATTCATGGCAGTTTGAATGATTACAAAAATGAACCTTTTAAAATGGAGCGCAAGACAGATAAAAAGAGACCAAGAAAGTTATCATCTCTTAACCAGCAGGCATTTTAACGTTCAGAATACTACATCACACCAGCTAGTTCAAGGTTTATTTTTAGTCACTTAAAAGAATTCTTATCCAAGCAGTTTACAGTTTCTGTTTTGCTAACATCACAGTCAAAATATCACTAAGGTCAGTTGATTTCAACTGGAATTGTTAGTAAGACTAGTTGGAAACATCAAATACTATAAATAAATAAATAAATAAATAAATAAATAAATAAATAAATAAATAAATAAATAAATAAATAAACAAACAAACAAACAAACAAACAAACAAACAAACAAATAAATAAATAAGTAAGTAAGTAAGTAAGTAAGTAAGTAAGTAAGTAAATAAATAAGTAAATAAGTAAATAAGTAAATAAATAAATAAATAAATAAATAAATAAATAAATATTGAATATTGAATATTGAAATTTTCAATATTATTATAGTTTGTATAGATAAAAACCATGGTTAAAATTTAAATTCTAATTAGCACATGGCTGCAAAAACTTAATATAAAAATATACATGTTAGAAATTTTCAAGAAAATTGTATATAATAAAGGTAAAATGTTTTGTCTCTCCCCCCAAATTATGGAACAAACCATTTTCAATGCCTGGATAACTCTCATAAATTAATAGAAATGTCTGACAATGTTATATTTTCCTCTCTTATCTTCAGGTATTATTCTGTTAGTACTGAAACAATAGTAATTTATGTGCTAAAATATTTAAGAGATGAATATAAGCAATACATACAGAGTCTAATCCATGCCATCCTGTTAAAACCTCCAAAATTGAAAGACACTTTTAAAACTTTAGAAACTACAAGATACACTTTATGCCCTGCTTTAAAAATTATTGATGTTCAGCTCTTTTAAATATACACCTATATATTCTACTTTGCCATTTCTGTTACAATCACTGTATTTTTTTAAAGGAATTAGTTTCTTCCTTTCTCCTCAAGGGATAGTCATATATAAATGTAACTTCCAATGAGTTCTGTATGAATGCAAAGAGCACCTTGCACTCCCATCAACCAAATTCACTTCACCAATGAAAATTTGAAAATCAACATTGGTTATTTAGTATAGTTTTATACCTGCTAACTAATTAGTATATAACACTATATTCAGTGGAATTTACTTCCCAGAAAAACTGCATTAAGATTTCAGCCTCAATTTAAAAGATGTTGTTTTAGAGTTATAACTTAAACATACCCTTTGGTATGTCTCAATGTTAGAGTGATACTAAATCTACACACAGTAGCTTACTTACGTCTGGGGCTCCTTTTCATTTTGTTGTTTTTGCTGTGGCTGAAGAACGTTATTTACCAGCTCAGTGAACCCACTAAAGGGAAACCACCTGTTCAAATAAGCAAATAATGTGACTGAATAATCAAATGAAATCATAGTAGTATAATTTTTTTTTCTCATCCAATTATAACCATTATCATCATCATTATGTAAATGCAGGAAAGCTACAGCCAATGGAAATGTTCACTGCAATTAAATCAGCCACAATTAGGATTTAGGGGAGAATAGTTTTAAACCAGAATAATCCGCAAGCAGGTAGCAAGAAACCACATTCAACTGAAATGTGGATGAAATAACACACTGAAAGCAGCTCTTACAAGCCAATCCGAAAGCAGATAACTAACTGCAGCCTATCTGGTATTAGTTTAAAACCATCAAAGGTGCAGAAAGCAGAAAATGGTAAAGGTAGAGAAGTAAAGCCCACTGCACTTATGTGTGTGTGTTTTTTTTTTACTTACTGTGTCACTGGTTGTTTTTGTTCTTCTTTACCCCTAAAAAAATAAGTGCACAACTGAGTGCAGTATATAGGACATAAATCCTATCACCTTTTCTATATGTCTCATATCTGAGTGGCATCAGAAAAATATTTTTATTTAACTACATCTTGCATCCAAACCAATTTTCCACTAGACAAAAATATTAATGCAGTATCATAAAAAACATAAAATATACAATGTCTCTAGGAAATAATATACTACGGTCAATATCTAATGTTTTTACAGAATTACTTGAAATACTGGAATCTTAAGAAGTAAATTAGCCATACAATCTCCAATACTTAAATTTGTGGTTTGAATAACTGAAAAGCATATATAAAGCAATTCACTATATACAGTAGTAAACTAAATCAAACAATAAACTTCAAAAATACTGTTATTGATATACACGAGGTAATCACTACCTCCAAAATTAGTTCACACTTTTCAAATATTATATGTGATAAAATAATTATTTAATTTGCTTATAGCCTGCCCCATAAGATTCAGTTTTAAATCCATAAGATTCAGATGCCCCAAACTTTCCATAAAGCTTTGAAGATCTGACTTTTCTCTCAGCATGGAGGCAGCATGCTGGATGAGCCTTTCTATAACAACTAGAATACTGAATGATTGTAGATTGGCCTCAGTTTATAGCATGTTCCCCTCTGTGCTATTTTTAGCTGATTGGTTTTGGTTTTAATCCTATATTAGCTGCCAGAATCAAAGTTAGGAAGTTGGAAAGCCATACAAAATGAACATGTGAATAGCATCTTGTTAAAATATCAAAAGTCAAAACAAGTTTCAAAATATGACGAACTGCCAAATAGATATCAAAATGCACTTCTGATGTATTTTCAGGTGGTAGGTTTATGAATTTCACAGGTTCTGACTATGTCTGAGATTTTTCTAGAAGTTATGCTCTTGATTACAATTGACCTCTGGGATTTGGAATCTCCTTGTTATCTATGCATCAGTTGGCTGGTTGAACATGTTTGTTTCCTCTTTGTACAAGTGGTTGGAAATACCTTTTACCTCCTGTTTGACTGGTGCTAGACATGCCTTTTCTGGCAGTTCTTTGGCTAATTGGATGGATCTCCTGCTTTACAGGTATATTATAGTAAATACTCTTCAGTGTTCATTCGTTTCAAGATTTCACTTCACTGTATGTTATCAAAGGATAAATTGTTGCACATGGTTGCTCTGCATAACTTGGGGTTCACCTTGCTGTATCCTTTACTCTTCTTATTGCAGCTAACCATCATGTTCCCCTTTGCTCCATTACACAACTATGAGCATTTCTTACTTGGAATGTACATATAGGCCAGTGATGGCGAACCTTTTAGAGACCGAGTGCCAAAAAACTGGCCTGGCCCCACTCCACCCCCTGCCCCGCCCCCACCCTGCCTGCCCGCAGGGCCACTCACCACCCAGACACCCAGCAGCGCCATGGCAGCCATGCCCTTTGCCCGCACCCCGCAGCATCAACTGTGCACGATGGGGCATGAGGCCAGATTCTTGTCTACGCTGCCATGTTCTTGGCTGCGCTGCTCCACATGGGCCATGCTCAGGGGTGACTCTCCTCCAGGGGGGCTGCTGGTGAGGAGGGGGTCACGGGGGGAGGCAAGGTTGGGGCAATGGCACGTGTGCCCACAGAGAGGGCTCTGAGTACCGCCTCGGGCATCCGTGCCATAGGTTCACCACCACTGATATAGGCTCTGTAGCCAAATAGATGGCTTTAATGGCCTATATTAAGATTCATGCCATTCCATCATTCATATAGTGTCTTTTCTGTGGCTTTCATTGGTAGCCAATTCTGTAGGTAGCCAAGTATCATAGTTGCCTAGAATTTGTTGGATAGATTAGCATCTATCAAAATTCTTCTTATCAGATCCTGTCAGGCAATCATTCTTTCTGTCAATCCATTTTGCTCTAGAATATAGGTTATATAATCTGGTGCTTCATGTTCTGTTACTTCCAGTGTCTCTGTGTTCATATATTTCACTCCACTGTCAATTCAGAAGATAATTAACTGGCACTAGACTATATTGCTTACCATCTTCATATATTCTTTGAGTTTTAGACTCTCATTTTGCACTTTTTTGCACTTTGTGACTATGTCTTTCTGTATTGTGTGGTAATCAATGAAGATGATGAAAAATCAGTTGCCTGAAAGTCACTTTCCTTATCGTTCCATATCGTCACTATGAATTACATTCAAGGGGTGATTTGATCAGCTGTTGATGATGTTGGGCAGTGACATGTGACTCGCCTTTGTCATTCATGTACCATAATGATATAGTCTCATGTCTGTTCCATTGTTTTCACTTGAAAGTTATTTTATGGCTTTAGAGATTCCAGTTCTGAGTCATCTGTGCCACAGGCAGATGCAGTTCTAATGAAAAGGGTAGGTTACCACTCTAGCTTCTTCACCCTTCACCTTCAAGGGCTATATATAGGATAACTTGCAACTGCTCCAACAATAGTATCCACTTCATTAGAAATTATACATGTTTCCATTGCAGTGTGCAAAATAGAGAATTTTGATCACACATTTCATAGAAAGTAGACTTCTATTTATTACTTATGCATACATCTTTTGTGGTCCTGCATTTCACACTGGTGGTGAAACATTTTACAACTCTATTTACAATTCCTTCCACTGATAGGCCCTTCTCATATGCCAAGTAAACTTTTTCATTGCTTCATCTCATTCTACTAAAAGTTCTTTGTTGTTATACAGTTATTGGTTCCAGAATCTATCCTCCATCCAAATCCATTGCTTCCTTTGGCTGCTTTATAATATTCACTCTAGGACTCCAATTGCTTCACTTGCTGTGGTTTTTCCTGCTAGTTTCTCTTCAGTGGCTCCTGTCCTATTTTGGCATACTGCTTTTTTGCAGCAAAATTATAGGGAGCTCTCTCCTTCTGTCTCCCAACCGTAAGCACAATTTACTTGCCTTCATTCTCCCTTCTGTAGTGATATATATCAATCTGCTTCCTTCTGTCATATTCTAGCATAAATTCATATTCTAGTTTTCCCCCTAGGCTTTGTTTAAAGAGCTATTTGTTTGTGTGCATCTTCAAATCAGACAAGTGTCCACATTTTTCTTGGAAACATTTTTGGAAGTAGTTTGCCATTGCCTTTTTCTTAGGGCTGAAAGGGACTGCCTAGCCCAAAGTCACCTAGCTAGCTTTGTACCTAAGACAGGACTGGAACTCATAGTTTCCCAGTTTCTGTGTGGTGCCTTAACCAATATACCAGACTGGCTGTCATAAAGAACTATAGGCTTTGAATTAAAAGGATAACAAAGAACCTACATGATTATCTCTCATTTCCTCTCCTCTTTCTAACCTTTTATTAAAAATTTATTATAAAAATTTATTGTAAAAATACAATGAAAATAAAGGTTAGAAAAGGGGAAAAGGGGTGCAGGATAATAAGAAGAAAGGGAGGGAGCATTGACTTCCAACTCTTTCCACTAGAGTAAAATATTAACTATAGTTGGCGACTCACCAGCCAACACTGTAGCGCCACTCAAGGCTCCATTCCCAAAGCACTGCTGTCTGAAGGATCTTGTGGGGTCCTCAATTGGCCACTTTCTACCAGAAGTCATTTCCTATCCTGCACAAATTCAGTATCTTATGCTGTACAATTTCTATTACTAAATTCACATTTTCCTACATTTCTTAGGAGTTCTGCAGTTTCATCCTACACAGCTTTGAGCAGATATAGTTCACTGTTTAAATTATTCTGCTCGTGCAGTTTCTGCAACTAATCCCTCATTCCTTTAGTAGTATTTTCTCTTCTTATTTAGTTGCATATTTCCACATACACACTTATTATAAATCTTCCTTATCTATCTATCTATCCTGCCCCAAGCTTTATTTTTTGTGCCGGTCTTTTGTGTAGTAATTATTTTCCATAAATCATCCTTAGACTGCAGAATTTCTATTTTAACCTTTGATAGTGGATGATTAACAGTTTAGCCTTGCCTTCTCTTGGTTATAGCTTTTGCCTGCCACAAGTAGTTTTTACATATTTTATGTACACTTTGGAATAGTAGTTAAGAAGTTAGCCTATAAACCAGAAGGTTGTGAGGGCGCCCAGCTGTATGAAAGCTGGCCAGCTGACCCTGCGGCAATCTCTTTTTCCCAGCCCAACCCATCTCACAGGGCTGTTGTGGGAAAAATAGGAAGTAGGACTATCATACATTTGCCACATTGACTTACATAAAAAGGTGGGACATAATAATAAAATATTATGACTAGTCACACATTCAGTCATATGTTTAGATTGGATCTGGCATTTATGTCCACTTACCAAGTGCTTTCCAAGGACCTGGGAGAAACAAATGTTGTTTAATACTAAGGTATTGCCGCAGGATATAAACTGCTCCAAGTAAAGCTGCTTTTGCAAGTGACCAATTTTCTCAATGTCAGTAGTGTGCTCCAGTTGTTTTGGCTTTGCCCCAAGGTACCTATTACCATTGTTACTAACTTTGCTTTCTTTGGCCACAATTGATCTATTTCTATTTGCATATTTTTATATTTTATGATTTTCTCCAGTTCTTTCTCTTCTATTCTGCTGTCCCCAGGTATTGCGATATCCATTATCCAGATTTTTTTGTTTTTCTTATCAACAGTGGTTAAGTGGCAGATGTTAGTCTATTTGAATTCTAAAGTCCCAGAGAACGTCTTCATTTTCTATTATTTTGTCTCTTTTGTGATCCCATCAGTTCTCGCTTACAGGCATGTGATATTTTTTGCAGATATTACAATTCACTATTGTTCCTACCTAGTCACGTCCTTGTTTGTAGACAGTCTATACAATATTCTTGCAGCACCTTCTTTGCAGAGATGATATTGAGTAAGTTGCTGGCCTAGAGGCTGAGTACTAGCCCTGCCTTACATGAAAGCTGGTTGGGTAACTTTGGATCAGTCATTCTCTCTCTCTCAGTTCAGCCCACCACACAGGATTGTTATTGTGGGGAAAATAGGAGAAGGAAGGAATA